TCTTTCTTTCTTTCTTTCTTTCTTTCTTTCTTTCTTTCTTTCTTTCTGAAGGCAGTTGCCCAGGGTCACACAGCAGGATTTGAACTCAGATTCTGTTGATTCCAAGGCCAGTGCTCTATTGCTCTTTTGAACAAGTAATTTCACAACCCAGCAATCTAGGCCACTGTATGAGACCAAGTTGCGGAGAATACCAACTGGCATGAGTAGAAGGAGTTTTCTTATCTGGGCATTCCGTATACCAGTGAAATCACAGGTCTAGTTCCTGTTCCAGTTCCCTATTCTATTCTTGATGAAGGGAGTATTAAATGTAAGTACAACTTTGTAAATCTTTAGACAATTATTGTAATGTCTTGTAAAAGTGTGTCAGTCTGGAGGCCTCTGCTTGCCTCTTGTCAGTCATTTCACTATCATCTACAACCAGGGCAGGCACAACTAGCTGGAAATTCTACTACTGCTATGAATCCATTGCTACAAGAAACTAAGGGAAGAGGAAAGAGGGAGGTTGAGTTAGTCTTCTCAGTAAAGGAGGGGGTCAGCTTGGGTTGTAGGGACTTGAACAAAGAAAAGGTTTAGATTAGGCACCATGGGAAATGGAATCTACCTTTTGTTTCTGTGTAACCTTGGGCAAATTACTTAACATTTCAGATCTGCGTTAAGGGGAGACTGGCCAATGAGAGACTGGGCCTTATAGTTCATGCTTTGCCAACTTCTAGGCATGCATCATGGGGGGCCCCATTATCCTCTTATGACTAATGGAGAAACTTTTTTTTTCCTTCTGGTTGGCCACATTGTATAAGGACTCTCTGAGGGCCAGTGTGGGCGTGGGGTGGGGAGTACTCTTTCCTTCACTAGGCCAGCTAACGAGCCCATCCAAAACAGGTTTGTGTTAGGGAAAGGGCTGCCTCCAATTTGTGTCTTCTTTCACTTGGTACATAGCCTTGTAAGATCTTGCAAGGTTCAGTAACTGGAGTCTGTACCAAAGTTTGTTAGTATTTGAGCCCAGTGAGAAGTGAGCTATGGAATTCAGGCTAGTATGGGTCAACATTAGACAGCACACTGTGTTCTGTAAGCAAGGGAGTGATTCCATCCATTGGCCATACCATATTTGGAAGTGAACTTGAAGCAAATGCTTTTTTAGCAACCATTTTAAGTTTGAACCTACTTTCACTAAGGACAGAGGTATAGAGAGGTAAGTGTGTCCCTGGATTGGGAGGATGTGTTTATACTTCTTTTTTTGTTGTTGTATCTTCTCAGTAAATGTCCTTTTTTGTAAAAGCTAATTGATGTTAATTGGTTAAATTGATAGAAGAGTCAGTTGATATGGGGGAGTGGAGATATCATGGTGATGACTTTGGGAGAAACACACTGGAATGAGGGTTTAAGCTGATATTACTAGAGTTACCAATTGATAGGTAGAATATTATTAAATGGCCCCCTTTGACACTCCAGGACAACCTAGGGTTACCCCTAGAATAGTAGCTTGCTTTAGCTCCTACCGTGCTAGTGGAATTATGGTTGGGATAAAAATTCTCTGGAGTTCACATGGACTATATGTAAAATGAAGAAATTAGAGTAGATAGCTTTCGTATGTCCCTGTGATCTGTTAGGGGTCTGTCCACCTTCCATTGTTGAGGCAGACTGATTGAAGGATAGCAGTGGAACTATGGCAAAGGTGGATTTTTTGCCTTATGGTGTAATTATGCTGATGCCTGGAAGTGGGCCAAAATCAGGCTGTGGCTGAAAGCTAGCCACTTAACAATCACTCCAGATGGTTGAGGCTTTGTATGTCTGTCTTCAGAGACTTGGGGCAGGATACTTAAGCAGCTCTGTACCTTATTTTGTTCACTGGCTTTTAGGGATGCTAATTAGGGGGTAAGATGGCATAATAGAAATAATGCTGGACGGGTTTGGTTTTGTTTTTTTAACTATTTTAATTTTGTTACAAGGGAAAGATCAAGTGGGTAGTGTTAGAGTATGGGTGGGAGGTCTAGATCTGGAAATGACTGTGATTTAAAAACAAAAGACATTGGTGAAATGTAAAAAAAAATTAAAGATATTAAAATTCATTAGTAGTATATTTAGTAACCGGTTATGAAGAAAACTATGTTATAAAACAACCACCAAGGAATGGCAACACACAAATCCAAAGAACACTGATGACAGCACGCTCTTAAAAGAGCTCATACTTGTCAGTCTATCACTTCACATTCTCACAGACTCCAAAAATAGCCTTCTTCCAGCCTGCCACGCCATACCCCACTCTTTGAGGACCTTGTAACGAATGCCATGGAGGAAAAGGACCTGGTAGTATTTTATTAAGCCACCCTGAAATTCCAAAAACAGCAATGAAAAGAAGACAAGGTTTTCTGCTTGATATCTTCCCCCAAAACAGATGTCAAAGAAATACAAAGTCTTTCTGACAAATTGTTCGTGGAAAAAATAGACCTTACCTTAAGGAAATAAAGCTGCAGAAAAGTGTGTTTTTATTAAAAAAAAATAAAAATAAGACATCTCTTTAGGATTCTGATATTGGTTATTTTTACATTCCTTCAATGCCACCATCATTTATCTTTGGTGGGGGGGACCTTCTATTTATATTGTCCACTCCATTAGAATGTGAACTGGTGGGGTGGGGAGGGACTTCGGTCTGGAGGAGGAAGGTGGCTTATTTTTCCTCTTTGTATCTCCAGCAGTTAACATAGTGCTTTGTACATAGCAAGCACTGAATATATCATTCATCCATTCTTTCATTCTTTCATTCATTCATTCCCAGGTTCCTCAGTTGGGGGTTGTCCTTGATTTTTCCTTTTCATTCATTTCTTTTATCCAGAAAATTACTAATTCCTTCACTATATCTCCTGTAGTTATCCCTTTCTTTCTATTCCCGCTGCCCTAAGGCCCTAACCACCTTTTCACTTTATTACCACAACAGCAACTAGTCTCTTTCTCTTTCACTTTTGGATTCTTCAGTCAGTTTTAGGGAGGCAGCTAGTTGGTGCTCAGGATAGACTACTGGACTTAGAGTCTGGAAGACCTGAATTCAAATGTGCCCTCAGATACTTAGTGGTTGTGTGACTTTGGGGGAAGTCATTTAACCTTCACTTGTCTCAGTTTCCTCATCTGTAAAATAGAGGTAATAACATGTACCTCTTAAGGTTGTTGTAAGGATCAAATGAGATAATATTTGTTAAGTGCTTTGCAAACCTTAAAACACTATGTAAATAGTAACTATTAATATTTTTGTTCTACATACTATTGTTAAAATAATCCTAAGCAAGATGGAAAGATTTATGCCATTTGATACAAAGTGAATTAGGCAAAGTCAAGAAAGCAAAACAATATATACAATGTAAATGGAAAGCACCACAGAACAACCAAAAGTGAATTTTGCAAAATTACAAAACACAAGCATGGCCCCAAAGAAGAGAAATAAGAAGATACCCCACCCCCATACTCCACTTTAGTGTGGTTCATTGCATTTATTTTCAGACTTACTCAGTATATTGATGAGTTTTGTTGCTTCCCCTCCTTTTTCTTCTACTTTTTCTTTCCTTTAAAAATATTATTTGTTATGTAGAATGAAACTGAAAGTTGATTTAAATTCTATTTTGCTAAAACTTAAGCTAGATTTAATATTCCTTTTCCTTGTAAATTTCACCCACTGCCCTGCCTAAGTCCGGAGGAAAGGTCAAGCTTTTGTCTTATAATTACCTCCACCTCCACTTTTGTGACCCTACCCATCACTCACTTTCCAGGTAAATCAGGTTAATCTAAAGGTCAAATCTCATCAATTTAAACTATCCTAGCAGCTCTCCCTGGTCTGAAGTCTAATTGCCTGGGAACCTCTGTCTTGTGGCTGGAATCCCATGTCTTAGTTATGGTGAAGGAGGTTTAAGAAGGGGAAGGCCAAAAAATATTATCTCAATTCTGACTGTCATTGATAACCACTCATAAGAATAAACACCTAGGGTGCTCAGGATTTTGCTTTGTCATATTGCTAATTGTTATAAAGATCTTGTTAGCCCTAACTTGAGGTCTTTGGTCATTGAGAGAGTCCATTGACCCAATGTATTGGTTACTGCATTGTTGTTATTCAGTCATACCTAATTCTTGGTGACCCCGTGGACCATAGCATGCTTATGTTGTCCATGGGGTTTTCTTGGCAAAGACACTAGAAGGGTTTGCCATTTCCTTCTCCAGTTGATTAAGGCAAACAGAGATTAACCGACTTGCTCAAGGTCACACAGGTAGTAAGTGTCTGAGGCTGAATTTGAACGTGGCTCTTCCTGACTCCAGGCCTAGTGCTCTTTCTACTGAGCCACCTATCTGGTTACTGTTAGTCTAACTAATAAATTGATCATGCTTGGACTATTGTCTTTGATGCATTTCTACTTCCTTATTTAGCAAATCAGAGACTGAGACACCAGAATTAAAATGTGATACATCCACTGACATTGATAAAGAAAATTTTATTGTTATAAAAATGTTGACAGATCTTTGCAATTTTTTTTTTTGGTCAGTTGGCCTCCTGGTTTCACCTGTAAGTCCTCTTGCAATGATTTGGCTTATTTGGTCTCAAATCAAATTTTCTGCAAACTTTCCCTTAACCAGTTCTTGCTATTTTAGGTGCTGATTCTGCTTACAACCTTCTATAACGGTTTTGTATATTTCATAATTCAACTCTATAAGATTTTGTATGTAAGCTGGTTTTAAAACAGTGTTGCCCTTGACTGCCACGTCACTTCACTTTGTAAGTGTTTGCTGGCTACAAGTTGTTTCTAGGCTCTTCAGCTTCTTCTTTGGGGCCATTGCTTTACAGTAGTTAAAACTTCTGTAGGAAATCATTATAATCCATGTTAATGGCTGTTCCTTTAGCAAATTCCCATTTAAAAATTAGTAACTTGTTTACTGTTGTAATTTCACACAAAGCCACTATATCTTCTTCCAATTATTTTTGATTTTTATATTGATTTTTATCTTTATGCTAATAAGTCAATAACACAGTTGATATCAAAGTGATTCCCATGTTGCTAACTAATTGTTTCCTGACTGTTACGATGAATCACTCTTATTTTTTATGTGATTGATGCTTACCACGTCAAATTGCCGAAAGATGTTGTGGTATCAAGGTAAGAATGAAGGACTGTGAGTTAAGATAAATGTGGGTTCGTGACCCTCATATGACATTAAATATTTATGTTGACCACTGGCAAATAATTTAACCTCTCCCAGCCTCAATTTCCTCATTTGTAAAATGGAGATAATACCTGTAGTACATATTATTGAGAAACTCAAATGAAATAATGTATATAAAATACTTTGCAAACCACAAAGCTCTATTTTATTTTTATAAATAATTCTATTAAAGAAAATATTCATCATATTATAGGCATATGGCTTCTGTGTAGTCTATAAGCCTCTAGTCTCTTTTGTTTCTTGATCTTGAGCCATATTTTCCAATAAGTGTATGTTGATTTAATTCTTTTGTATGTGTGTATTTCACCAGTTTGTTTTTGTTTCTTTACTTACATTTTATTTTTAAAAAATCTGCCTATCCTCACTTTCATCTTCCCATTACCCTATAGAAAAAAAAACACAATAGAAACCTTATAGTCAAGTAAAACTAGTTCCTCAATTGGCCATATTAAAAAAAAGTTTCATTTTGCACTTCAAGTCCATCACCTCTCTATCAAGAGGTAGCTAGCATGTTTCATCGTGGATTTTTTGACATCATAGTCATTATGCTGATCAGAGTTCCTAAGTCTTTCACAGTTGTTTGTCTTTACAGTATGGTTGTCATGGTATAAATTGTTACTTCACTCTACATTAGTCCTTACAAGTCTTCCCAGTTTTCTCTGAAATCATCCCCTTTGTCATATCTTTTAGCACAATGATATTACATCACATTTATGTATCACAACTTGTTCAGACATTCCCCAGTTGATGCACACTCTCTCAATTTTCAATTCTTTGCCATCTCACAAAGAGCTCTAATTTTTCTTTTGGTATATCCTTAGAGTTTGTTTTCTTAGGATGAATTCCTCTCTAAATTTATCCTTCCTCTTATTTTCCTCTCTCCCATCTCCCCTTTCTCTCCTGTTTCCCTGTTTAATGAAATATATTTCTGTATCCTGTTTCCTATTCTTCCCTCCTTTGACCAGTTCAAATAAAAGTGAGGTTCAAGTGTCA